CTAATCGTCTAAGTCACGTTCACAAGTTCGACTTCGAGTGTCCCAATTGCTACTGTCCGATCAGGGTCGCCATCGCCATCACCGTCGTCAGCTCAGAAAGCGATCACCCCCACACGCAAATTCTTCAGACTACAATGAATACCACCCATGTGGAGCAAATATAACATATCGATTGGAACCAGGAAAAAGCACTGCTTGCAGCATACCACGGCATCTCCTTGCCACTTCTTCATTCTAGCGCCTGTGTGCCACGTTTTGAAGAGAAGCAAACAAGATTTGAAAACACAGACATGACACAGAATTTGACCATAAAGTAGTCCAAGGATGATATGGCACGTCAAAGGCAGATGGGCCACTTTGCACAACACTGACCCCCAAGTCCTCATTTACTGATAATCCTCATCGTATTCTTTTAGTCCTTTATTAACATCGTTTAGTTGCTCCCGGTACTATCAGTGTTTTTGTTGTTGTTGATTGATAGAATCTAAACAAAACTGTATTATATTCAGAGACATCCCGCGCTCAAGCAATTCGTAAGCGCCCTTCCTTGTACAGGTAGTCTGGTCCTTAGTCCCTAAGATTACCCCGGCGACATCATAGCCTGCATTGAAGGTGGTAGGTGGCAGTTTTCACGCCCCTCTAGTTGTCCCATCCACCAATATTCAAAAGCTATTTTGTCCCCCGATCGTTTCTACACCATGTTCTTCGTTTTTTGGTTGGTAGATGATATAATCATTGGATGACGCTAGGAAACGATCAGTGAGCCAGAAGCGGCAACACATCGCTTTACTGGCACGGAGTGAGAAGGTCCGGAGAACTCGTCCAGAGAGGCTGCCAGTTCCTTATTCAAAGTGTCCATGATTTTTTTTCCTTGTTTCTTCCCTATAGAGTCATTTTAGCCAGTACAGATTTGTGAATGGCCGCTCTCCCAAATATACAATCGCGGTCTGTCTCTCGCCTTTGAACCACTATAGAATCATTTAGGGCAGAATTGTAGATAATACAGTGGTTTTCCAGAGCAGCTAAGCATTAAATAACATTTGTAACAGTTATTTGTTGCAAAGTGAACTGGGACCAAAGGCTGTAACAGTCTTGTGCAGGCGGCATCAAATTCCTTCGCATGCCAGCCCTTTGAAGCAGGTGCATCGTGCCACGAAGAAAAAAAAACAAATCGCGTCAGTCGAACAAACTGGGACATTTTGGTGCAGGCATCCAACACCATTGCAAACATTTCTAATTTAAAGACGGCCAAAGAAGGCTCTTTGCCGAAACCTGGAAGGGGTGACGGAGCTCCGGAAATGGTGCAGTGATTCGTCCGCCCTGGAGCTCCTTCCCACTAGGCCTAAGCAAAAGTTCTATTCTCTGACTCTTCTTGAGGCTTCTTCACTTTTTCAGCGCTTAAAGCTATATAACATCGAGAAAACATGGGAAACAATGCGAAAAGCCTAAGCGCAGAAAAGCTCTTGTGCAGAATTACAATTACCGCGATCTGACTTTCTATTGCACTAAATGCCCCAGTATATTCGTTTAGCACCAAGCAAATAAAAAAAAACCAGTACCTGGATAAGTGAAAGTACGCGTTCATGGATAATCTGAGGTGTGTCGAATTTGGAGCCAATCAATTTCACTAGATCCTGGACGAAATCCTTGGAACAGACGAGAACGTGGAAATTATGCCCACAATTCTTGACACACGTTTCCAATACCGTCAATGTGTACATTACAATCGCATTATTCTTGCACATGTTTGTGTGCAAACGTTTGCGAATTGCACGTACAGCATCCTTGGCACTGAAAAATACAATACAGGTAACTCTAAGCGGATTGGTAACTTTGCATAGTAGCATGGCTGGCTCTCCAATGGAACATTTTTAAAAGCTTTTTTCTTCAGTGATGTTTATGTCTGGTATCTTTATGATAGTGAAGAAATGTAGCCGAAAAACCTATAAATGCTATAACCTTGGAAAACTTTGTCGTAAATGACGGATATGCAATCGCTATACATTTATCCGAAAGGTACTTCTCACTGTTGCAAGTTGCCAGAATCGAAAATGGTGATCAACGGTCAAAAGTCGATAAGAAAAGGATGGGAATGATATGATATGATACGGTGACGCAACTAACCCGCAACATACCGTAAAACGGCTAAATCAAGAAAAAGCCTTTCATTTGTAATGACTGTGTAAGATACAACATTGGCAATCGGGCCACACTTTCAATATGTCAGATAACTTCAATCAACCTTTAACATACTAGTAACCCACAATTTCTAATGTTAACTAACAGCTTGGTCAACGAAGGCTTTGAAAACCAACCTGCACTGTCACAAAACTAAATAACTATAGAACTTACTAACACTAGGCTGGTGGAAAAGTTGTGTCATATTTTTTGAACTTAAAGTACTTCTTTTTCATCTGCAGAGTTACCCAAGTAGCGCTCCCCTTACCAGTGAATTTCACACGCTTTTAAATCGTTTTTGATGGACAGGACAATGGCAATTTTTCGCGTCGCAGTGCACACTGTACCGCCCGAAAGTGCGCGGCAAACTGTCGATGTGTATCAGTTTGTCGATTGGAGCAGCGAAACTCGTAAGAACACAAGCGGAGACGAGACTACATAACAGACAGTATCGGATTTTCTCGTCATTTTCAACACTAAGAATTGAACGATTAAGCAGGACAACTCGTCTTTTGAACGCAGGGCCGCTCGCCACACCCACCAGCGCGGCATGTCACGATTGTCTTATCACACTCCAACCTTTTTTTTAGTACGGAGAGCCGTTCCTAGCCTGATCCGCCAGCACCTGCGCTTTCCCGAACTTTTCTTGCAGCCTTGGTTTGAGATAGAAGCTCAAAAAGTCAAAATGGAGCAAGTACGCTAGGACCATGCCCCAATTATTGGGCAATCTTCCACGACACGGACTCTTCAAGACGGGACTACAGCCTTAAAGGCGGAATGAAGCAGGGGGAGGGTAATCTGCACTTTGCGGAATCTGCGATTTGTGAAACTACATGATGGAGAAGCTGCTACCGCTGCTGGTCTCTACACCAGCCAGCATAGAGATCCCACCAGCGGGAGCAGACAAAGGCTATTTTGAAAATGACAATGGCAGACCACACACTGCAACAAATGCCCAACCAGAGCTGGTGCAAATGGCTGGATGGTTCTCTCTCATCCTCTGTATAGCCAGGACAACAAGTTTAAGTTTCTGGTGAAGAAACAGGAAAATTGTTTTTTGAACTAACTCATTATCACGAGCCCAAGTTCAAATCCATTAGATGCCCTACTTTTCGTGGCGCCAGCCTGCATTTAGGAGGGATAACATCCAGCTACTCGAACACTGCACGTACTCCGCAACAACTACGACAGCGATATTTGATCTCAACGATCCTCACTGCCTAATCTGGTGCTTATTCTCAAGAAATGTGACGCAACTTCCCCATTAACGTGGTATTATCAAAAGAAATCCAAGAAGAGGCTGGTAAATGAAAAACAGGGACTAAGGCAAGCGAAGTAGGTGTCCAGACTTGAGTAAACTATAAACTGGACGCTATGGGCCACCCAGAGACCATCAAACTAGCTCCCATCGACGTGGAGACCTAAAAACTCAGGGAAGGCGACAAAACTGACGGTACCCAGCGAATTTAAAAGCAATGTGAAGATTGTAACGTTTCTCAAAGAAAATACTTCACTCAAAATCATGCCCATAACGATTGGTAAGATTAGAAGAGTTTTTACCAATCTCAAAGCTGCTCGGCGAAACTTGGCCCACATCGCAGCTTCACAAAAATTTCCGGTTCCCACCAGGATTAGCAAACTGGAGAAAACAGCGAAGTAGCGGAATCCATCTCTCCACCCCTAAGGCGGGCTCACGCCCAAATACTGCCTATAGATAAAGATGGCAAGTACCTTCCTTTCATTGGATCGCAACTAGCGCTTTGAGCATGAAACCCATTTGGTCATCAAATCCCAAATAAATAAAAACTTTTGCCCTATACTCTGGTTTGCCATCTACGTTAGTTCGCTGCGGACGGTTGGGCGTGTCAGGCAGTATGAGTGTCACGCCGTCAAAGCCGTTCTCTGCCTTCTTGTTGAAGCGCGCATGCGACAAAAAGTGGTAGAAAACGAGTAATACGAACGATATGATACAGTCATATCACTTGCTCGCTTTAACAACTGGTGGAGAACGGGTTTGGCACCGCGCCCCGCGTCCCGCTGACACGCCCAACCGTCCGCAGCGAACTACACTATATGTGCAGTTATCCCTCAGCCACTAAAGGAGCATCATTAACCCAAAAGACGGCAGAGCAGGACGGCGAGCAAGGGAATCCAGGTCTGGCAGCAACGGCGTTAGGAATTTTTTTTCTGTGAGAACTCCTTACTGAAACAAACCAAAAGCCGTATGTCTGTCAGCACGTCTGTACGTTTTATTCCGCCTATACTCCTGGTTATAGGTATAAATGGGAGGGTATATGATGGTAGGACCACGCGACGTCGCTTGCGACAATCGCGAATTCCGCATGGTTAGGGTCGGCGCGCTCTCGCGGTGGATTTGTTGTCGCGAGAGTGACCTCTAAAAGGATGCTGTCCAGAGAGCCCTGTGACAGTCAAATTATTAGGGGTCAGCAGTTAGGCTAAACTGACTCGCGGGCAGAATCTGTGCAGGTTTCTCCGCTGAGGAGTTTATCGCGCAAGACCGCGGTGTTTGCAGATGCCGCGCACGCGACGTTGCGTGGTCCTAAAGACTGTCCCTCTAAATGGGCATTCGAAGTTACCAGTGAAGATTTAATGAGGAAGAATGAGAAAAGTTTCTGCTTTATGTCCATCGAAACATGAAACTAAGGGAATCATATACGACTCAAAGTATTTAGAAGAATTGACGATGAGAGAAGTTCTGGAATGTTCACTAACCCGTCTTCAGTGCTATTGATGAAATCGCAGATTTCCATATTCAAACCCCAATTCTCGGTAGCAAGAATAGAAGCATTCGTGGCGAGCTCTGAAAAGTCGCCGTCTTCAAGCCTAATTGAAATGGTAAGCATGTATTATAATCACAAAACCTCCCTTAATTGCATTCACATCAGATTTTACGATGACGTCACCTTCAAGGGCAGCGCGCGAAAAGCATCAGCAATTCTTGAGAAATGAAAGCTGACGTTTTTTGGGAGGCTCTCATCCCTTTCACTAGGCTAAGAGGAATCGGCTCAGTCCCTCCCACGAGCGCGTGGGTAGTGGCGTTCAGTAGCAAACATGTAGTGGCTGAGTGACTGTGCAGGAAAGAACAAAGCAAAAAAAAATCATGGAGAACGCCCGAAGTAAGGAGCCCTTGCACCAGCACTGCAAGAGTTGTCCAGACCTGCTCGTTTTTGACCAGAAAAGCCACATCCCGAGGAAAAAAGTTGGAAAACGCGGTGTAAGAACTGAATTTGTTACAGAGAACAGCGTTCCAATATTGGTGGGCGGCACAGCTAGGGAGGCGTCAGAACTGCCGCTTACGAAGACCACAGCGCCTTCGTTACTTACTTTGCTGCTAAAGTGGGATAACCTTAGGCAATGAGGACCACAGTACTGTACAAGGAGGAACGGCTAATGAAATGAAACGGTCGGCCGTCGGGATTGACTTTAAATATGCCTTGAAAGATCTCAGAAGAAGGGTTTGACACAAAAAGCATGATTGAGCTGAATTTCAAATAGAAATGTAGTTTGTAGGACCTCGGAGTTGTTTTGTTCGGGACAAAAAGCAATAAGCTCGTGGATTAGCCCAAATATCTCGGCATTCTGCTGCCACGTATCCTCACGGTGTTCAAAAGGCACTGATGTCAAAAGTTTTCTTTCCTGGAAAATTTAAAGAAAAAAAAGACCCTCTAGCACCTTCGCTAAGGCCCAAAATGGGAAGCTGAGTGTGGTTGAAATAATATACCACGCTTATCTAACCTACATGCAATATTATCTAACCTACATGCAATAAAACCCCATCTAATGCAGTTACTTCTGAAGTGCTAGCACCTGAGAGTTAGGTTAACATATTTATTTTGTTACTCCAGTAGGCAAGACATTACCATTTCAAGCCTGACGAATAAAGTGATCATATGTTGTAGGCTAAAATCTACACGAAAACTTTTTCGGATTTAGTTATTTCGAATCCGTCAAATGTAACCATTTGGAGTTTATATTGTTGCTAAATCTCCACCATGAGAATCCGTAACAGCACAACATCAGATATTTGCACTATCTCATGCGATTATTGGCTTTTGCCCCTGACCCCATTACAAAGGGTCCCACCACGCAACCCTTTGACCAAATAATCATCGAATTCTAGACAAAAGCAAAAATACCAATGTAACTGCTTAGGCTTCTTGGTTTGAAAAGTCACAAAAAGCGAAATTTCTGCATAATGGTCGACGTAAGCACCACCGCAGCTATCAGGAATAATGATCAGCGCCATTACAGGAATATTCCCATCAAAACTTCACATAAATGATGAATCTATGTCCGAATCGATTGTAAGTTAAAACTAAACGGTAGCTGGATTGGGACCCACCAATTTTGCGTCCAACAGGCGTCGAAAATGGATTTCCTTGAAAAAAATCTGACACCTGTTCGCCGACTTTGGCCGCTGCCTCCTTGGCCGACTCCATCGTTTTCGACACTTGCTCGCTCACGTTGCTCATCCTTTATGAATACGAAATATTTAATGCTGATTGAGCGGGCGAAAAATCATAACAAAACGTGGAATTTTGAATACAGTCAATATAAAAAACATTTTTCTACAGTATAGGTTCATAAAAATACGAGCATGCGCTAGGAAACAATGAGAAAAAATCGTCCGGGGCCCGTTCTCCCGCCACGAAATCGATTGACTGTAAGATAAAACGGTATTACGAAATCTAAGAAAACGTGTTCAAGGTTGGCTTGTGTCAATTACCGGTATGAATGGTTGGAGTAATTCTGTAAAGCAGTATTCGAGACGACGAGAACCAAAACGAACGCAAGCAATGATGATATTTGAGGGCACAGGGACCAGTTGTGAGGTGTGGGGAGCGGGGGCAGACCCAGTCATCGTCGCACATACTGAGGAGCACTCGCAATCGATACGCATCCCGCACCCACTTTGGCCAAAGGCCATATAAGCCGGACATTGGAACAGGAATTCAATGTCACCCTGAAGTCCACTCGGCCTAATTCAGTGAATGGTAATAAGCCATGAAAATTATACAGCTTAGACAAGTTTTGAAACCGTCGGAAGCCGGCTGACACTCATCTGGGCGCTCTCATTATTGTTTCAGCTGGCATCACATATTGTGTCGGATACACATTAGTAAACCAGTCATCGTTAAGTGCCAAGCTAGTGTCATAAATCTTCTTTATTTCTAGGTAATGAAGCCTAACGTAGAAAAAACCCTACAGTATGATGACGCTACCCAGTAGTCGTTATCTTTTCTTCATTCTCGTTGATCGATAAGTCTGTTAACTATTTTGCGACTATGCCGTAAAACTGTATTTCATCGGACGTCGAAAAAGTTTCGGAGAGAATGTGCGATCCACCTAGTTGCTATTTCGTAATGACCCATGATCTACGCGATCAATATTCGAGATTAGGAGGAATTTGAACAGGGTTGCATAGCAGGGGAACTCCATGGATGAGGGCTAGTTGAAATCCTAGTCCTTAAAAAAGTTCCCTTTCATGCCAAAAGAAACAGGGTTCCCCTAGTTCGTGGTGAGCAATGATCTACGCGATCAATATTCGAAATCAGGGGGGACTTGATTAGGGTTGCATTGCAGGCTAACTTAATGGATGAAGGCTAGTTGAAATCCTGGGATATTCCGAGATCACTTTCATGCCAAAAGAGACAGGGTTTTCCGTAGTTCGTAGTGAGCCATGATCTACGCGATCAATACGCGTGACCAATATTCGAGAGCAGGGGGAATGAGTAAGGTTACATTGCAGGGAAACTTTATGGATGAGTGCTAGGTGAAATCCTGGGTTATTCAATAAAGATCATTCCATGCCAAAAGGAACGGATACTCCCCCAGTTAGTAATAATCCAGGATCTATGCGATCAATATTCGAGAGCAGGGGGAATTCCTGGGTTGCATTGCAGGGGAACTCTATGGGAGGGCTAGTTGAAATGCTAGTCTTTAGTAAGGATTATTTTCATGCTAAAAGAAACAGGGTTCCCGGTAGTCCGTAGCGAGCCATGACCTACGCGATCAGTACGCGCGGTCAATATTCTAGAGCGGGGAACTTGGGTAGGGTTCCATTGCCGGCTAATTTTATGGATGAAGGCCAGTTGAAATCCTGGGATATTCAAAGATCACTTTCATGCTAAAAGAAACAGGGTTCCCCGTAGTTTGCAATGACCCATGATCTATGCGATCAATATTCGAGAGCAGGAGGAACTTGAGTAGGGTTGCATTGCAGGGGAACTCTATGGATGACGACTTGTTGAAATTCTGAAGTATTCGATAAAAATCATTTTCATGCTAAAAGAAGCAGGGTTTCCCCACCCCCAAAATTGACTTGTCAGCTCAACTTCCACAGGTGGCATATTCGTGAATATAGTTCTTCAATTTGAATGTCGATCAACTAAAAAGTCTATGTGAAACGCCGTCAAACAATCATGTAAAGTGCAAAGCCGATTCAATAACGAATAGTTTTTGTAAACCGTACTTGCTCAACTGCACTACTGTAAACGGGAAACTACTTCACTGTGCCTGAATTCATTATGGATTCGTCGATCTGTAGACCTTCCTTGGTAAACTCCTTGGAGCAAGGAATCCATGTGAAACCCTGCAAAGTATCACCATGGGTTTCACTCGGAATAAAGATAGCTGTACTATGGCTAATTCCTCGATCAAAGACCAGGTAGGTGGGGACGTACTATTGAAGATAATCCGCCGACGTCGTCCTTGATAGGTTAGATTAGATAGATATTGAGCAACAATTACCTCGAACGGGTGCATTAGACTCGTCCACAAACTCATCTCAATCGATACATAATAAATCATTCGATTGACCGACGGCGATGTTTGATTGGTATCCGATGACGGGGGCAAGCCGCTGACCCCTTTTTTTTACACACTTCAACTAGCGTTTGAAACAATTAAGCGCTCCAGAACAAAACAAAAATTTAATACTTTGGAGGTCTGAGTAATTATGGATTATGCACTCTGAATTCCTTGCAAGCCGATCTTATAGAGGGATGGGTCAAAGTGGCTTCAGAAGGGAAGCATGGGAGGGGTCAGAGTGGGTTCAAGAGTCCTATAAGGAACTCTAGAAGCCTGTAGTGTAAGGTAACCACAGGTCCTTCTTCCTAATGCTCAGCCAGTTTTTGCTTTTTTGCATAAAAAGTGAGGTTTTCATGGCGCTATAGGTTTATTATCATTTTTATCAGCTGTTTACACACCGTGTGAAACCAGCCAGAAAAGAAATTTATGAAAAAAATATACAAAACATTCGTGGGGAAATAGTGCTATGGTGATGGTGGTCCATTACATTGCTAACCATACAACCTCGTCGGTTCGAGGGACTTCTTTTTCAGTGTCAAAGTGAAGGTCAAGGACAAAACTACCCTAATCGATCGCTACGACAACAATTAGGAGCACCACAGAGATAGGAAACTTTAACAAGAAGTGCGAGAATATTGGGGGGAAAACCACAGGGAATTCGAAATCGTTCAAAACTGGAGCATGAATGAGCGAGAAAGTAAATACTCCCGACAAGATGGCTGTCGATACATTGTTTGTTTTGTCTTCGTCGGCCTCAAATTCACACAAGTCCTATTCAGTAGTGCAATTGACCCTCCCTATCCGTACCGGTTTAGTCTGATCTTAACACTTTCCTAATACGTGCGAACTTGAACGAATCGGTATCCAATGCTGGCTAAGTCCACGTCGACCATGAGGAAAGTGTGGCCAACGGAGAGTTGACACGCGTCGCGGCCTTGCGAGCTGCGAGACCAATCACCGTGAAGGGCGGAGCGATGGTGAGCCAATAAGACGGACCCACGGTCTGCTGCCTCCACGCCGCTCCGACCCGATAGTCATTCATTGGGGCGCGATGTTCAAACTCGCTTGCGTTTGCCTCCTTGCTCTGTCGGCATTTGCAGCAACCGTTGAGGAAGAGAAAAATGTAATCGTCCTCACAAAGGTAATTACTTTTATTCACCATCTGCTCACTATTCTCTTACATTCTAGACCACTGCGCAGTAAACTTACAGAAGGTTACGCGTGACCTGGTCTGGCGCCATTCATCTCTGGCCACCCCACTAAGTGCCAACTTTTGCCAACTTCTTCTAATCAGTTGCCTATTCTTAGCATTTTGGCATGATCAATTGAGGCGAATTCAGCGCAGTGTTCCACCACCCTCGTTATCGATCTCTTAGGAAGACGTCGTGCGTGAAATATCAGTGCGCCTTGTTTTTTTTTGCGGGCGCCGTGTCAACCAGAAAATTACAGCGCCACCTGTAGTTTTGCCTTAATCGGTTTACTGCCACCGTAAGTAATTCTTTATTTACAGGATAACTTCGATGAGGTTATCAACGGTCACGAGTTTGTTCTTGCCGAATTCTACGCTCCTTGGTGCGGTCATTGCAAGGTATGTTTTGCTCTGGTTTTTTGTTAAATTTCTAATATTTGCAGTGATTTGTGGTTTTTCATTTATTATGGCATGGTTTTTTAGGCTCTCGCCCCAGAGTACGAGAAAGCCGCTACCCAGCTCAAGGAGGAAGGATCAGCAATCAAGTTGGCGAAACTTGACGCCACCGTTCACGGTGATGTTGCCAGCAAGTTTGAGGTCCGCGGTTATCCAACGCTGAAATTGTTCCGCAATGGAAAAGCATCGGAATACACTGGTGGACGTGATGCGGCGTCAATTGTCGCCTGGTTGAAGAAGAAGACTGGACCAGTTGCAAAGACACTTAAGACAGCCGATGACGTCAAATCGCTGCAAGAAGAGGCTGATGTAGTCGTTGTTGGATACTTCAAGGTATGTTCTTCTAATGTACTCTAGAGCATATCGAGCGATCAGTATGTGTTCATGAGTAGTAAGATAATGTAGCCTTGAGAGTAGCCATGGCCTTCACCGGTCTCCGTCGCTCCACTTTTTCGCACGCACGTGAAAAGGGTTGCAGTTATGTTCATTGGGATGATCGTTCTTTTCTCTCATTTCTCCCATTACTGCACGAACTAACAAACACCTATCACATTGGGAACTGTGGCCATTCAGTTTTGTTTGCTCAGCCTTTCAATAGATTTTTTTTGATAAATCCATGCAAATTTGATCACATTGGGGCACAGCTAAAAATGGTTAAATGCAGCTAGTAGGCTTTTATCCCTCTATTCCTAGGTCCCTATAATGTAGTACTTTTCTTAAGTATAGAAGCTCCTTTGGTTTCAGCCAACAAATTTTTCCATTTTTCAGAAGGTCGATGGCGACAAGGCGAAGGTCTTCCTCGAGGTTGCTGGAGGAATCGATGACATTCCATTCGGAATCACATCTGACGATGCCGCGAAGAAGGAGCTGGAGCTTAAAGATGAAGGAATCGTTCTCCTTAAGAAGTTCGATGAAGGACGAGATGTGTTCGATGAGAAGCTCACCGCTGACGCCCTCAAGACCTGGATCCAAGCCAACCGCCTCGCCCTTGTATCCGAATTCACTCAAGAAACTGCA